TTAAATAAGCAGTAAAAATATTAAATAATTTAGTCCATATCCCTATATAAGTTTTAAGACTTTAAGTAAAAGGATTTATTGAAAAAATGTAAACTGAGAAAATGCAGTTTGAAGAATGTAATCTATTAGTTTATTGTGAGTTTTAGGTTTCGCTCGAAGCAAATACAAAGTAATTTCTCTTCTAAAATTCACATGAGTCATTTCTAATGTGGTGTTTTTGTGTAAATCAGTGTGCAAGATCCACTCAGCAGCCACAACCATATTCAGTGCGTCGATAAATACGTTCCAGTACAACGTTTTGCTGTGAAATTTTGGTTGATATCTCCAAGAAGTCAGTCTAACAAATCTACTCCACCCATTCCTTCATTATGTTATTTTATAATTTAAGATTGCAGAACATCAACCTTCTTTTTTTAAGCTCGGATTCATCTTTTTGCTTTTCCTAATGGTTCGTGAGTGATAAAATTTGATGCAATAGTTACGACAGAATTGTCGTCCCAATGGCACATATAAACTTCTCCATCGCATCGGTAATCAAATTCTCCACGTTGAAATTTCGACATCTCTTTTGCTCATACTGTGCCAATTGCCTTAAAGCGGTTGTTAGACAAGTCTGTTAGCAGACTGTGCGATGAAAAAAAAAGGTTGATCTTTGGATTATAGTAACTTGGCGATTTTTTGGCGAAAATTTGGCGACCAACTCTCCTACAGCAACCCTCTATTTTTTTTTCCTGCCGCCATTTTGTCTTCATGAAGTAAAGACATGTTTCTTTTCTTTTTATCTACTGAACACTTCTTTCAACAATCTACTAGCCGAATTACACTTATGCTAGAAATTTTATCTAACAAAACTGCTTAATCATGACAAATATTCACTGCAAAATTGGGAAAAAGTGCACAATACCATACTCCTTACGCGTTTTTCAAAATAACACATACACATAAACCATGTACACGCCGACTTATTTTTACTTAAAAAAACATCCCAGAATTGCACAAAAATGGCATTGCGCACACTCTTCACTATATCCATGTACACTGCTTTTTTCTCATAAATTAGAAAAATTTCACGAAAATACATGACAATTTTCTCAATCTTTAAACCCGGTAAAAAGAACATATATGAAATTACCTGATCGCGAAAAAGTATATACCCTTTCCAAATATGAACATTTCCACATATAAAATAAATAAAATATCCAAAAACTTTTACCTCTAAATTATCTATTATTATACACGTCACCAACGAATTCATACCGCAAACATTACAAATTACAAATACTTAGTGTCAAATATTTAAATTATTTCCATGCACGTTTACTTCAACTAAAACGTATACCAAATTCCTACAAACATAAAATTCACAAAATAACTATCATTTAATTAAAATATAATTAAATTCAAAAACACTACTTAAAATATAAATGAGCACATACATTAAATTAATAAAAATTAAATACCCCATTCACGCCATGGGAAAAAACACACACACACAGAATAAAGCCAAATACAAAATTTCCAGATTTTTTCCCGATTTCCCCCCTTTTCCGATTAAAGAACCGTAATTCGTCCATTAATATCACATGACATATCCCATGATCTCTCATTTCCCTCACACAAAATAATGCGTAATCGGAACTGAGTACTGCTCACATTATTACCAAAGTCCCAGGTAGTAACCTTTATCGCCTCCAAAATGTCGCCAAACTACCAGTTACCATATTCCAAGATCACAAAAATTCAAAAAATTGGTTCCGGCTGTCATAAAGTAATGTCCTTTTCTAGTGGAATTTATTTTTTAACTTTTGAAAACTTTTAACAAGACGATGTGGTCATTTCTACAAAGAAACGCGTATTTCAAACAAATACGCTGAAACCAATTGCCACCATGCCTTGGCGAGAAGTCCTTTCCTTTCTACAGAAATAAATGACACACCATTAATGCCTCTAAAAAAAGAGCTTTTAAAATTTAATAAAGAAAAATGTACATGTGATATCGCTGATTTTGTATATCATTACATGCCAATGTTCATTTTTTTTTTTTTTTTTTTTTTTTTTTTTTAAACATTGCAGTTTTACGCAGTCTTGAGGAAATATTTCTTGTTATTATTTGAATTTCTTTTATTAACTCATTAAAGTTGTCCTTTGCAAGTAGGATGGGAAAATATTTGGGTCGATTTGAATTTTTAAGAATTTTATAGAATTTCTTTCTTAAGTGCTGTAAAAATCGTAATGAAAGCCGATTTTTAGAAATTTTTCTATGCTGAAATATTCATATTTGAAAAATAAATTTTACGTCAAAAAATCAATCATACATTCTATAATAAATGACTTTTTTAACTTTCAGATATGATAGTTTCAGAATTTTTGAAACTGACAGATATAACTGTTTATTTTTTAAAAAATATTAAACATGATGTTCCAAAAAAAGAACATTGGCATGTTAAAGGTTTATATGATTTGTTTCTTAATCATTTGTCAATTCTGATAACAGAAAAAGTGCATTTATTATGAAAAATATGTACCCTTGGAGGTAATATGTTATGCACATTTGTGTTTTCATTACAAAAATGCTACAGGTAACATAGTGCTTTAAGACATACCAGATTGTTCAATAAGTTCGCAGAACGGAGATGAAGAAACCAATTTTTATTTGTAAAAATGACTTTATTTTTCAATGTAGTTTCCCTCAACTTCAATACACTTATTCCAACGGTTTTCTAATTTATGGATCCCTTGACTGTAGTGGTTTTTCAGCAGCTCTGCAAAATATCCCTCCACTGCAGCTATTACCTCTTTGTTTGAAGAAAATCATTTTCCGCTGAGATATTGTTTGAGGTGTGGGAAGAGCCAGAAGTCGGAGGGAGCTAAATCTGGCGAAAAGGCTGGATGTTGCAACAATTCGTCGTACTTCAATTCAGTTATTTTAGCAATGGTTTTTTGAACTGTGTGCACAGGTGCGTTATCTTGGTGGAAAATGATTTTCTTCTTCTGTAATCCGGCTCTTCTTTCATGAATTTTTCCATCTAATTGATTCAGAAGGTTGCAATAATAATCCAAATTGATTGTTTTGCCAGTTTGAAGGTAATCTATAAACAAAATTCCTTTCGCATCCCAAAACACTGATGCTGACACCTTCTTGGCTGATTTTTTGCACACGAACTCGCTTCAGCGCCGAAGAGCCGGGTTCACACCACTCCTTAGCCTCCTGTTTTGATTCAGGATCATGATTGTAGACCCAAGTCTCATCCATTGTGATAAATCGACGGATAAAGTCGCTTTTATTCTTCTTAAAACGCTCCAAATGTTGCTGGCAAAGTCGCATACAAATGTGTTTTTGCTCCATCGTTAGAGAATGTGGCACCCATTTTGCACAGAGTTTTTTGAAATCCAAATTAACACTCAAAATATTGCTCACGTACGACCACTTTTGAATAAACTAGCCCACTTGCAAACCATTGTTTTTGAAGGAGCAGATTCAACCCAACACATTCACCATTTCGGTATGAATTTCCATTACCTTTAAGCCTTTCTTTACAAAGAATTTGATAACTGCAAGTTGCTCAATTTTATCATACCTGAAAAAAGGCACAACACATTAGATATAAAGGGCGGTTAAACAATGAATAAATTAACAGATCGAAATGAAACTTTTGACGTGTTCCTAAGAAAGAACAAATATGAAAATGGCGTCAAAGTTTTAGGTCTGATATTGACAAATAGATGGCGCTCCACGAACTTATTGAAGAACCTTGTATGCTAAAGCATCCTGGTTGGCAAACTACAGGTATTTGCCCTAGAGAGAGTGTTCAAGTAGCAAAACATGTAAGAGTCTGAGATGGGAGACAATTCTGGTGAATGTGTGAGATGATCAGTCCCAAATTTTTCTTTTTTTGCTTCCAATAGACGTATGTGATCTGGCTTCATCTTATAGTCTGCAACAAAAAATGAGTAATGTTTTTTACAGTATAGTTTATGGTAACATTCTAGTTGCTTGTGATTGTTTGATCACAGGGCAAAAGTTCACATTGCATTACAATTTTAGTAGACCCCTTATAAATATCAAGAACTTCAATAGATGTAGACTGGGTTTGGATGTTTGTTGCAGTGATTTCATTTTACACAGTGGTGTTGATTTTCTTGTGAACAACACAGAATATCATAAAACATCAATTTTCCCATCTACTCTAAGAACTGGATGTAGAAGGCTAGGCTTCATGATTTTGGAGAGCAGTACATACTTCCAGATGCTGCATCTGTTGATATTCAGTGAATTCATGTATAGCCTAGAGATCAATATGTCTGAAAACTGTGCGGTGACACAACAGGCACTGAGCTTATGTAATGTTGATTTCCTTCTAATGTATACCTTAATTCCGTCTCGCATGCAAACAGTTAATCAACTCTTCATTAAAGGTTTTATCATGTTTAATTAATAAAAAAGTTAAACTTATCTTATAATCAAGGTGAACATTATTGAAATGAAACTTTTGAAACAGTCTATGGACAATTCTGTCACTTATCATCACTCCATATATTATTCATAGTGACAACGTTTTCAGACAAATTACATCCAAGTTTGTGCATAATTGCTATCTTTCATTTTGTGTCTTCATCACATCATAAACTGTTTTATTTTCACTAAAGTACCTTTTTCAAAGCATGAACTGACCCTGTTCATTCTGAATGGTATTTTTTATTTATTTATTTATTTTTCCAACTATGATGTATCCATTGCAACCAGCTCTGTAAGTTATTCTTTTTGAAACCGGGCGATAATTACAAGACCCACTGTAAGTAGTGTGTAGTAACCATTAATTTATAAGTAGCACTCTTCCAAAAAAGTTATAAATAAATTAAAAAGATGTTAAGAATTATTACAGATGGAATTGAAACATTATCTTACATATATGTATATTTTCAGATTCACTGCTTGAGTATATATTCTGTTTGTGCATGTAGTTAAGTTTTTTTTTTTTTTTTTTTTTTTTTTTTTTTAGTTTTTGTAAAAAAATGGAGGAAGAAAATGATTTTTTGAAATTATCCATTGAAGACAGGTGCCAACACAAGTTATGGAAAGCAAGATTAAGTGGTTATGAGGATGCTGCCAAATTGTTCCGGACACAGGATGATGAAAAAAGTGCAGAATTCATGAAATATTTGGGTTTGTTGAAAAAATTTGTTATTGATAGCAATGCTGTGGCACAAGAGAAAGGCTTAGCAGCAGTATTGGCATTTATAGAGAATGCAGCATGTGCTTCCAAGACAGTTAGTGATGTAATGAGTGGACTTGTAAGTAAATGTTTTTCTTCACCTCGGGCAAAAACTCGGGAACTAGCTCTTGAAATAGTTTTAATGTATATAGAGATAGAAAAACAAGATGTAGTTTTAGAAGAATTGGTGAAAGGACTTGAAAATAAATCACCTAAAGTTGTATCAGCATGTGTAATGGCATTACATGAATCCTTGCATTTATTTGGTTCTCAAGTCATTACCGTGAAACCTCTCGTTAAAGTCTTGCCAAAGCTTTTAGAAGATAGAGATAAAAGTGTGCGAGAAGAGTCAAAGCTTTTGTGTATTGAAATATATCGGTGGGTGGGAGATGCTATTAAACCACAGTTGCAGACATTAAAACCTGTTGCGCTTACTGAATTAGAAAATGAATTTCAAAAAGTTGGAGGTGAAAGAATATCACCTACTAGGTTTTTAAAATCTCAACAAGAAAAGATGGCCAAACAGAAAGAAACCTATGGTGAAGCAGCAGAGGAAATGGAAGATTTGGAAGAAAATGCTCCTGTACAAGTTGATCCTTATGATTTAATGACAGAAGTTGATATTCTTTCAAAACTACCCAAAAACTTTTATGAACAGTGTGAAGCCAAAAAATGGCAAGAGCGTAAAGAAGTTCTTGAAATCTTATTGCAGTTAACAACAAATGTTAAATTAGAACCTGGTGATTATGGTGATCTTGTTCGGACATTGAAAAAATTCATTACTAAGGACTCTAATGTTTTAGTAGTTGCTTTGGCAACTAAATGTTTAACAAACCTTGTTCTTGGTCTAAGGAAAAAATTTCAGCCATATGCTTCAGCATGTGTTCCAGCAATATTCGAGAAATTTAAAGAAAAGAAGCAAAATGTTGTATCAGCTCTTCGTGAAGCTATTGATGCACTATATAGTATTAGTTCTTTAGAAATAATGCAGGAAGACATTCAGACTGCACTGGATAGTAAAAATCCTCAAGTGAAAGCTGAAACTTGTTCTTTTCTAACACGTTGCTTTTCTGCATGTTCTTCCACCCAGTTGAATAAAAAACTGCTTAAAGCATTTACAGTGTGTCTGTTAAAAACACTTAATGATACTGATTCTGCTGTCAGAGAGAATTCTGCTGAAGCTCTAGGTACAGCTCTAAAAGTTGTTGGGGAACGTACTATGTCACCATTTCTACAGGAAGTTGATGCAATCAAAATGGGTAAAATTAAAGATTTTTGTGATAAAGCTGTGGTAACAGCCAAAACTGTGGCAGTTGTTGAGAAGAAGCCTGTTTCAGCACCTGTAAAACCAAGTGTTGTAAAAGTAATGCCTGAAGAAACAGTTAGCAAGTCTGCTAGTGGAGGAATTAAAAAACCTGCTTCTGCTGGTCCTGTCAAAACTAAGGTTGCTACTGCGTCCTCACGTGTTGTAAGGTCCGGAGCTAATAAAAAAGGAGTTGGTGACACCATTGAACCTGAATTCAAGGAACAAGAACTTTCAGAGGAAGAAGTTTTGGCTCAAGCTGCTGCTATCTTACCTGATCATGTAATAGCTGGTTTAAGTAGCTCTAATTGGAAAGACAGATTAGCTGCTGTAGAGAAATTTTTTGAAGTTGTTTCAGCTATGGAAAAAGGAAACATACCTGCACAAGTTCTTATAAAATTATTGGCTAGAAAACCTGGCTTTAAAGAGAATAACTTTCAGATTTTGAAACTTCGATTTGAAATCTTAACCTATATTGCTGAAAACGCACAGATATCTCATACTGCAATTGAAAGTTGTTTGTCTGATATAGTTGACAAAATTGGAGATGCTAAGAATGGTGGATATGCCGGATCAGCTTTGACTGCTCTGGCAGGAGCAACTAGTCTTGAATATATAAGCCTTGAAGTTTTAAACTTAGCCTTTAACCAAAGAAATCCAAAAAATCAATCGGAAGCTTTACTTTGGATGTCCAATGCAATTAAGTTATTTGGCTTAAGAATTCAGATGAAAGAAGTTATAGATCATCTGAAAAAAGCTTTTTCTTCAACTAATCCTGGTGTCAGAAATGCTGCATTATCTCTTATTGGAGTAATGTATATGTATGTAGGAAAACCTCTCCGAGCTTTCTTTGAAGATGAAAAGCCAGCTTTGTTGCAACAGATAGATTCTGAATTTGATAAAATAAAAGATGCAAAACCTCCCGTTCCAGAAAAAGGAAAGTCTGCCAAATTATCTGGATCTGGAGATGCTACAGAATGTTCAAAATCAAACGCCCAAGTTAATCTTTCAGATATGATGCCTCGGGTTGATATAAGTAATCAGATTACTTCTCAATTACTGTCTGATCTATCAGATAAAGACTGGCATTTACGAAGTGATGCTTTGCAGAAAATTTCCAATATCATTAGTGAAGCAAAATTTGTATCTCCAAACTTAGGAGATTTACCTAATGCACTGCGACCTCGATTAGCAGATACAAACAAAAAACTTGCATTGCAGGCTTTAAACATATGCCAAATGCTAGGTACATCCTTAGGGAGCAACTGTTCAAAGCAAATACGAAATTTTGCACCAGGAATACTTATATGTCTTGGAGATAACAAAGCTCATGTCAGAGCTGCTGCTCTTCAGTGTCTAAATTCATGGATGGATCAATGCCCATTGGCGAATTTATTCGAAGGTGAGATGATTTATGACGTTCTCCGAACAGATAATCCCTTTTTAAGGATTGAACTCTTTTCGTGGTTAACAGAGAAAATGACAACTGTTACATCATTACCTGCAGCTGATTTAAATATCTGCTTACCTGTTTTATATACTTGCTTAGAAGATCGTAATGCTGATGTGAGAAAGAAAGCATCAGAGTGCATTTTACCTTTTATGATGCATGTTGGTTATGAATCCATGGCTAGAGCTACAACAAAACTAAAACCTGCCTCAAAAGCAACTGTTATGTCTCAGTTGGAGAAAGCTCGCCAGAGTCTACCAGAAAAACCTAGCAGTAAACCTAAACAATCTAAAAGCTCAGTTCCCTTGCCAAGTGAAAGAACATCACCTCCTCAGACGGTTAGTAATGAAGATGCTGTAAAAGGTAAATTGCATCGTAGTACATCTAAATCTAAACTTGCTTTGAAAACTCCAGGAACTAGCAAAGGAAAAAAAGAAGAAGAAATTGATATATCACCACCTCTTGTAGCTAACAATATGAAAGATCAAAGGTTGTTAGATGAAAAAGCTTTAAAAGTCTTAAAATGGAATTTCACTAATCCTAGAGAAGAATTTTACATTCAGTTGAAAGATCAAATGATTGCTGCAAACTGGAGTAAAACATTAATTTCTCACTGTTTTCACAATGATTTTAAATTTCACATAAAGGCTATTGATTTGCTAATTGAGTCACTTGAGAACAGTGTGGAAGCATCTGCAGCAAACTTAGATCTAATATTGAAATGGCTTGCTTTGAGATTTTTTGATACGAATCCTAGTGTTTTAATCAAAAGTTTAGAATATTTATTAGCATTATTTCGATCACTTTTAAGTATAAATTATCGCTTATTAGAAGCTGAAGCTGCATCTTTTGTTCCTTATCTCATTCTAAAAATAGGTGATCCAAAAGATGCTGTCCGTAAAGGAGTTAGAGAAATTATTAAAGTTATTGGTAAAATTTATCCATATAGTAAAATGTTTTCTTATATAATGCAAGGATTAAGTTCAAAAAATGCAAGGCAACGAGCAGAATGCCTTGAAGAATTAGGTTCGATGATAGAATCGTATGGTTTAAATGTCTGTCAGCCATCCCCAGCAATAGCTCTGAAGGAAATTGCTCGTCAGATATCAGATCGTGACAACAGTGTAAGAAATGCATCCTTGAATTGTGTTGTGCAAGCTTATTTCATTGAAGGTGAAAAAATATATAAATATGTCGGGCAACTTTCTGACAAAGATATGAGCTTACTGGAAGAACGTATTAAACGTAGTGCTAAAACTAAAAGCATGAAACCAGTAGAAAATACACCTGTGATCACTCAAAAGTTTAGTGCTTCACAATCTATGAATAACACTTTTGGACCAGCAGAAGATGAGCCTAAGGTATCAGAAGTAGTTGCTTCTGCTCAACCTTCTGGTCCTCTTCGACTTGAAACTGAGGACATAGAGCAGATGTTCAGACACAAGCAAACAGAAATAAAATTACCTGGTCTTGTACCAGTTAATGCTGATGAAATACTCAGTTTACCTGACATTCAGCTTCCACGAACAAGGCTGAGGCCACCAGCATCTTCACTAAAATTACTGAATAATTCAGCTGAAGCAAATACTGCAGTTAATCTCGTTATGGCTCAGTTGGCTGCTCAGGAAATTCCTGTTGTAGTTGAAGCATTTGCTCAAGTTGAAGAAGTACTTAAACAAAGTGAACAAGCTATTACAGTTTTGGGACCTAGAGTTGATCAGTTATTAGTTATGGGAGCTATGCAGTATCGTTATGCTCATAATAAACATATGGCAGATGAAAATATTTGTAAAGCTGATGTCATTCGTTTGTACAGATGTGTAACTGTGGCATTAGTAACATTATTTGAAAATCCTGTTTTGGCCAGAAAGGCTAGTAGAGATGTTCTTAGGGATCTAATACCCCATCTTCTTACTGTTATGCTCGATAACCGCTTGGATGATTTGCAAGAAGGTGCACAAGTAGTAAAAGTAATTAATGTTCTAATAATGAGAGTTCTTCAGAAATCACACCCAACTCATGTTTTAAGTGCTTTAATAAAGCTTTTGCACGATTGTGTTGGTAGTGCTAATGTTTCAGACCGTTTCACTGATTTGGTCATGAAATGCTTATGGAAAATGATTCGATTAATTCGCCATGTTATAAATGATTTGAATATTGATAGAATTGTATTAGATATTCATGTGTTTTTAAAAACATATCCATCTTCCACCTGGAAAGAGAGACGAGATGACACCCCAATAAGGACTATCAAAACCATTTTATACAAGCTTGTTGAAATTAAAGGCGAAGACATTATGAAACATTTGTCATTAATATCAGATCGGCAAGAATCAGATTTGTTGAATTATTTGCATAAGCTTCTTGATAGAATCAAAGATGACAATCGTAAATCCTCTCATAAAAGTACAGCACCTGATGATAATGCAGGTGGGAATCGTCACAAGCGAAGTAAATCTTCCCCATTAAAACTTTCAAAATCCACTCATGAAGCTCTCACTGAAATATTTAAAAAGATAGGTAGTAAAGAACAAACCCAAGAAGGTCTTGCTGAATTATGTGAATTTACCCAGAAACACCCTGAGGCCGACATAGAACCATATTTACAAACATCTTCAGATTTTTTTCAGAATTATATTCGTGAAGGCATAAAGGAACTAAAAAATAAAAAAAGTTCAATGAAATCTAATGAAAGCTCCTCATTATTTATGTCTAAGAAATTTGAGGAAATAGGGTGGAATTCTAACCTCTCTACTAATGATAGTGTATTTTCAAAAGAAAGAATCCAATCCCAGACATGGGAAGAAAAATTTCCACCATTGCCCCCTCCAACAATTGATACCACACCAATGGATTTAGTTGAATGGTTAAAGAATGTTGTAGCTCGGCTAGGCATGGATACATCAAACTACGATAATCCAGCTTTTTTAGATAAAATAGCTGGCAGTGATGAACAGCTCACTGATGTAGAAATAGCCCAGATATCTTCAGATATTGAAAAATATAAAAAAATAATAAATGATCTTAAAAATGACACTGGCTTAAAACTGAGTAGTTAATTGTTTAAAAAATGAATCACGAATTATAACTTTGTTGCTTGCAGTTTAATATACAGTAAGAATATCTGTACATGATCTCTCTTCTGATACTGTAGCTTATGTTTTTGTAACATTGTCTTATATCAATGTATGATTTGTTTTAATTTTAAAATAATTGAACCACAATGGCTTTCTTTTCTGCCCTAGAAATAGTTTGTATGTAAAGAGTTTACTGAATTAAATAGCAAACTTTTTTTTTTATAGTTTGACCATAACCTGGGCCCATTTTCTTCATGGCAGTATTATTATTGAATCTATTTCAATTAATGTAATTATTTTCAGATACAAATTTGAATAAATGTGTCTGATTGCGAGAATTTTCAACGTCTATGTAAATATTGCATTACTGTACATTTTTGCTTGTCTAATTTTGTGAATATGTTATATCACCATTAAACAACTAAATTTTTGAGGAATAAAAATGTTAATTGCCAGTTTTGATCAAATGAGGATATTTGGAATGTACTAACTAGCATGTATTTTTCTAAATAATTTTCATATTTGAAGTGCTAAAAAAAAGAAGGAATTTTTGAATTAAGTTCTGAAAAGTATTTTAGCTAAAATGTACAGTGAATTTGAGAATAAACTTATCGTATCTATAAAATATTCCATAAAGTTGTTATTTGAAATTTATTCATAAATGAGCCTTTTCTTTCAAAGTGATGCAAGTCCATTTTATATTGTATGGAGATATTTAAAGGTTTTTATTTGAATGGTTTGAAAAATATTGGTATATGCTAATATGCTCATTTTATGTTTTTTAAAAATATTAAATTGATTTAAATTTATTATGTGATAATTTGTAAAGTATTAGGTAAAAAAAAAATATATATATACTTTTAATGAACTTGAATGGACGTATACCTCTTTCAAAGTCATCAAAATGTGAAAATCATACATTTATGAAATATTAAATATGGGATTTCAATTAATCAAATCAATTTTTTATTAAATAGATATTGCTTTCATTAGAATGATTCCAAGATTATTTTTGGTTTCTATTTATTGGGATGATTTCTATAAAATAATGAAACATTAAAATGTAAAAGGTAATTATCAAAATAAAAGTTTATTTTACAAATACCTATCTTAATCACTGCCCGATTCTAAGGTGACATTATCCATTTTGAATATTACATAAAATGACACTTGTTATATAAAATTAACAGTTGGTAATTTTAGAGGTAATCGTACTTATTTACTCCAAGTTAAGTGCACAAACAAAACACATTACTACGTATTTTACTCTGCAAAAAAACGGACAAATTACCAAAATTCCAGTGAAAGAATGAAAATTTTTGTCATTAATAGTGTTACTACACACGTAAAAACGAAGTAGAGAAATTATGCAATATAATTTTTGAAGTAAATTTTTTCATCTCTGCAGAAAGTGGACTTAACTACTTGCAAAGTAATTATATTTGTAACTTAACTTACTATGTAAATTTATATTGACAAAATGATGAACATTTTGAAGGATTCTTTTGGGCAGGGGACTGTTTATAGATAAAAAGCTCATAGCAGATAGTATTTATTGTTATTAACTAACTTTTGTCAAAACTGTGTACTTACACCACTTTCAAAGAAAATGGCTCAAATAATAATAATATTTTTGTTTTCTACTTATTCAGATTTTTTTTTTTAGATTTCAGTTCATGCATTTTGTTAAACTGTTTTGAATTTGAAAAGTTTTAGAAGTGCATAATCAGAAGTTTATTTCTTAATGCTAATTTTAATTATGTAAATTATATTTTTGAAATTTAACAAGCAATTAATGTAAAATATTTTTAAGCATAAGTTTTTAATTGATTTGTTTTTAAATATACATTTTTGCATCCCATATTTCTACATCAATGATTAGGTGATCATCCTTCCATTCTTCATTTACTATTGTAATTATCCTAGGTATAAATGTTAGCACTGAGATTTTTCCATTCTTATCATGTAACATATTACTTTGTGGAAAATGTATATAACTAATCTGTAGTAAAAATAAATAAATCAGTCAGTATTTATAATTTATATGAAATAAGAGTTATTCATTAAACTTGCAAAGTTATGAAAAAGTTTCCTAGTTAATTTACTACATTGAAAATGTATTTTCTTTTTTCTCCTATTTACCATAATTTCCGGAAGAAACGCCGCGGCGTATACGTGTTTAAAACTTAAAATTTTCAGCGGGTGCGGCATTTCTACCCATGCGGCGTTTACGTGCACTAAAAATAAAATATTTTTAGGATGGTCATAGTTTGGATGGCCTTGTCATTGTGCATAGACTGGTGCTATTCCCACACAAAAGACCACTCAGTTGCTTTTTGCGAACGTTATTTTGTTTACATTCTTTCCCTTGAACGGACCTACATGCCTTATTCACCCTAAACGAGATCTCGGAACAATAACATTCTTCCCCCTTTCAAATCAACATTCTCATCAGTTTGAATAGTCTCTCTTCTCTGCTATTCGATGAATCTTCCAGAACCCATCCTCTCCCCACCCCTGCCTTTTCTGCAATTTTTTTCAAAGGCGGACACGACTCCACCTGCCTCGCAATAACGAACTCTGACGTATTTCCCCTTCAGCATAAATGGATTTTTCTTGGCATTCTGCCAAATACAGATCCCATCAGTTTGGGTACAAGTACTTCTTGAATAGTTTTGAAGTAAGAAGGGAGCGGAAAATTTTTGAAAATGTCTCTAAACGGCACAGAAGCTATACATTTCTTACCTTTAATTTATTTTTGAGTTATGGTTTCATTTCATGCATTTTTCTTAACTGGTATGTCATATATCAGGACTTAGGTTGAGTTTTTGCATCTATACGGCCCACGATGATGTCACGCGCAATTTAATCTATTGCTGCATTTCTGTGTAATTTTAATTTTTTTCCTGCCATTTTTCTCGAGTGCGGCGTTTACGCTGATGCGGCCTTTCTTCCGGAAATTACGGTATTAAATATATTCATTGTAGGTATTATTAATCTGAAATTATTACATTTGTGAGTTTAAAAATATATTCATGCATTATAAAGATTACAAAACCATATTTAAGATGCATGATCTCACAGATTATAAACTTATACTAATTTTGAAATATTGATATCAAAAAGTGGAGCAATATTATGAAATTAGAATTCATACAGTTGTTCGTTTTCAGGAAAGGATTAAGTGATATGACACATAGATTGTCAGTTTTATTAACTTTGGAGTTGTAGCCATTGAGTTTCGGATTCCAGTTACAGCAACAAGTATATAGTACTGATTATTTAATAATTAAAATGGACAAAAAAAATATTTGGCACTTGGCATCAGTCCAATAGACTATATCAAGATGGCCAAACTTTTACAATGCTTAAAGCCAGAAGTAAATATACCAAATTTAGCAGCAGTATTTCAGTAGAAATAAATATTTCCAGTAATTTAACAATAGTAACATTACATTTAATAATTAATGTGGCTGTTTAACTTAGGTATAACTAATTTTTATAAAATTTTAATTTTTTATATATTCTGGAAAGTGTGTTCTTATTACTCGTGAATTTTAAATTGACAGTCGAATATTCTTCAGACATAAAACCACGTATTTTTTCCCTCCCTCTTCTTCTAATTATTTCTTTTCTCATCACTTCCTCTGGTTATAATTATCAATTGATTCTAATGAAATAAAAGATATATCACTCTTCACTACAACGTAAAAAGCTTTTTATTTAATTGAAGAATAATGCACTGGAATTTTATATTTGAAAATTATTTGAAATAAACGGGATTTTTCCAAAAAGAAATAGTTTAGTTTCCCTATATTACTGATATGAGAAACAACATATAAACTTCAATTAAATGGAAACTGGATCATCGTATACATTTTGCTTTTTTTAACACAGTGATTCTGAGCCCCCCTGGCACCCCTTTCACCATTGTGAGATGATGATTCGCCACTGCTTTCCAAACTTGAAGACTACAAATTTACATTTTTTCGATTTGGATTATTTTCTAACTTATTTAATAGATTAAATAACAAAAAGTATAGAAAATGTTGGTAAATACCAAAACTTGAATAAAAGTTTTTAAGTTCATAAACTAGAAATGAATACTTGACAGTTCAATAAAAGGTTGACTTCCATGGAGGTAGGAAGTAAGAGGAGAGCCCTAACCAGTTTTTTTCTCGATACACTGTGTAAGTACTGGCAATCCCTTCGTGGCGACCAAAACATTCAGTGACTTACCATTATAAGATCAATTGGTTTTGACACAATCAGATGTAAATATTTTGCAATTGTGTTGTAAATATACATATAAATGTATGCATTTTCTTTTTGTATGCTATTTCAGAGTCCTAAATATGTGAAAAGCATGCATTTTTAAACACCATTCCATTCTGAATGGAATTAAATGCTATACTTTTCACAGAACCGTTTAATTTGAATGAAATATTATCAACTTTTCGTTAATTACATTAGGAAAAAAAAATTAAGGTAATTCGATTTTATTTGGTTAAGGATTACAAAAATTAAGATCAAAGTTTATTGTATTATGAATATTAAAATTATCCATTATTTCTTTTCTATTTATATCTCAAATATGACATGATTTTTTAGCTTCTGAAGCATCTTTAAACTGAAAAATCTAAGTCAATTTATAATTAATGCTCTATTCTGTCCATTTCAAATTAGAGCACCTTTTATTTTAATAAATACGTTAAATATTGGTGCTGATTTCCATGTACTTAACTTTCTCTGGATATTTCTGTAAGAGAATAAAAATATTTAAAACTTGTAACTGAATTATTATAGAATGTAAAGGAATAATTCTTTTAACTGCTTGCATTATTATCCCGAGAAAACTCGGGCAAAGAGGAATTTGTCAGTATGATTCGATTTATCACGGTTTTACTTGGCTTGGAGGAAATATTCAGCATTTATTGGCACTTTGCCAAGTTTTGTTGGTTTTTTTGGTGGGACTGATGATGTGTTTTCCCTATTGTCTAGTATACATCGGCTTGTGGATTAGTAATGTGTAAAGAATGATTATTGCGTTGAAAAAAAGTAAAATAATGGCAATGATGCAAGATAGCGAAATTGATGATTTTTCAGATAGTGATGATAACCTCAAGGCATTTTCCAGATGTTATTCCCGCTACTGAAAAAAAATCAAATCCAATGAGACAATGTTCTCTGTGCTCTCCTAAAAGAGAATCCAGAGGTAAGCCAGTAAGAAAAGAGACAATATACCAGTGTATAGAATGTCAAGTATCACTTTGTGTTGTCGCTTGTTTCAAAAACTATCATATAATGATTAATATTTAATTTTTTTTTATTTGCCCAAGATAACTTGGTTTAGTAAACTGATATTAAAACTAAATGCTTTTACACCTGTAAAAAAATTAAAAATTCAACTTAAAGCCTATATATTTTGTTTTCTTTCCTTGTATTTAATAATAAAATGTGATGATGATTTTTTGCAATTTTTTTCAAAAAATTTGTAAGGGAAGCGGTTAATTATACTTATCAGATTTTTTTTACCCTTAATTTCAACAATACATATTCCAAAACTCTTCTTTATTAGTTCCTTAAGTATACAATTTACAAAACCTTTTAAAAGATTGCTTTCCAGTAAGAATTTCTTGCTTGTTTTATAAACGTATTTGTCTTCAATTTATGTTTACAATTCAATGTTAAGGTTTATATATTTAGGTAATATTTATAATCATTATAAATTTAGACTAATTTAATAATTGGATTTCTTCGCAGTAACTTTTACAGGAGTTTATGCATGTATAAATCCTTCATGTCAAATACATTTATAAATATTTATGTATTTTGTTAAAGGCAGATACATGCTTTTTGCAAGCATATGCATAACTCAGGATAGTAAACTAATAATACCCATATGTATTTCGTATTTTTCATTTTCTGCATGTGCAAATCTAATTTCTGTGCATTCACTATATTTTTCGAGAAAAGTAATTTACAATAATTTAGCATATACCCAAAATTTTAACATAAAAATATGTATAAATATACTTTGAATGAAAATATGCATTATTTTTAATACCTACTCAAAGATAAGTTTTTCTTTGAAATTCCCCCACGATGGCAATCTTCCTTTAGGTAGATAGCCCTTGCATGCCTTACTCAATTTAATAAAAACTTAACCTGACCTATGTGCCTAATTACACATATTTTAACATGCATAATTTTATATTTACATTTAGCCAACAAGTTTCAAACTTTTTGACTTAAAACACATTTTGTGATTATTTTTCAGTTATATAAAAATAAAATGATGAGTTTAAAATCAGCAACTATAAAGCCTCTCCTCTAAAAATTTTTGAAAAATACATGTTAAAATAATATGTGGATGACAAAAAAAATTATTTAAAACATTTTGGCATTTGAAACATAAAATAAAAGTAGCAAATACTCTATCAAGATTATTGAAAGACGTATACAATTTTAAAGGTGCCATAAGGCATTTTTCAACAAATTACTATTATCCATCACACAATGAATATTTCTTTTATGCGGAAGTGTCCCATTTTTGATTTGTATGGAATTAATGATGTCGAATTAACATCAAAGCACTGGCAAGAGAGCTTTTGAATGTAACAAAAAAAAAAAAAAAAAAAACACCTCATCTGGAGACTGAAACCTCAGAGCAGTGTTTCACTCATAGTGCAGGGTTGGTCCCTCCTTCCTTTCTTACCTCCACGGTGACTGCATTCCATCTCTTAAACTATGAAATCCCGTCTGGTTGAGAACCACTACTATAATACAAGTTATGGTTAAACAAGTTCATAGTGTGAGATCATAGTGTTTGAACTAGTTAATTCTGCATGAATATGTGAGAAAATTAATGGATTATGTTCCACTCCCTTTATCTTTCAAAGGGCTACAAGTGTCATCGTTGTTCAATGGAGCTGAAAGGAATGTATTGAAAAGGACCAGGTATAGTCTCAACTTTGATTCTAGACATATTCTGAGTAGGAGGGAGTGAAGAATATACAATTTGTCCTCCCTTTTTCATTAAAGATACCATTTCCATGGAAACTGATTTGGAATAGAATAATAAAAAATAGTCATTGAACTGCATATCTTTAGAAGTTCTATAGCCAGTCATAAATATGTGAGGTCTTGTAAAGCCACTTAAAAGTGCTGTTGGACCAAAATTTTTATAATTCATGACAGAACTCATCTGCATCCAGTGTGTATAGTGCCAAAAAATTTGTAACAGAAGATATCAGTTAGATGGATAGATTAGCTTACTTACTAGACTTGAACGTGGCTGAAAATGTGCAGGATGCTAATGTCCTCCCTTTTTCATTAAAGATACCATTTCCATGGAAACCTGATTTGGAATAGAATAATTAAAAAATCGTCATTGTGAACTTGTCATATCTTCGACGTTCTATAGCCCGTCATAAAATATGTGAGGGTCTTGTAAAGCCCTTAAAAGTGCTGTTGGACCAAAATTATTTTCGATAATTCATGACAGAACTCATCTGCACCCGTGTGTATAGTGCCAAAAAATTTTGTAACAGAAGCATCAGTTATATGGATAGATTAGCTTACTTACTAGACTTGAACGTGGCTGAAAATGTGCAGGATGCTATATCTGCTTGAACTGCAGGTACAGCAAATACCTTCTTGGACTCTCAAGGCAAGACTTGATAAAAGGGTTAGTGAAATCAAGATGCAAGTTTATACAGGGTGCGGCAGGGAAACTGCCTTATTTTAAAAATGAATAACACAAATAGTATAAGCGATATCAGTTTAATTTTCTTCCAAGTTATAGAGAGACAATTTTTTTTTTTTTTTTTTTTTTTTTAACGGTTTAAAAATAATATCATTAAGGTAGCCTCCATTCTGGTCAATGCATTGAGATAGTTGAGTTTTGAAGTTTCTTCCCACTTTTACCAGCATATCAACGAGTATGTTGTCAATAGCAGCTTGAATATTGTTCTTCAGTTGGGTGGTCTTTGAACGTTAGAGATTTCAGATAGCCCCACAAAATGAAATCACACGAGCTAAATCAGGTGAGCACGCTGGCCACTGACAATCGCCTCGTAAGGAGATAAAGGCGTCCAGCGAAATGTTCTCTAAAAAATCGTGGTCCAATGATGCCTATTCTGGACAATGCACACCAAACAGTTACACGTTCTGTATGGAGGGGCCGCTCATGAAATTCTCAGGGATTCATGCCGCTTCATTATCGCATGTTTTGCTTAATGCATGCTGCAACCGAAAAGTTGAAAATGAGCCTCATCGCTAAAGAACACAAAGGCGTATTGTCAAGACCAGCTTTGCATACATTTTTTGAAATGAATCACATTGATGAAAGAAAATCACATGGATTAAATTTTTGGACCACTGCCAATTTGTCTGAATGAAAATGCAGCATGTTGAAAAGTACGACTCCATGGAGAACGTGCGCTCCTCTCTCAAAAATCGATATGATCGGTAGTAAACCTACATGACATAAAACTTTAGGTACCACTCTTTTCAATGAGCGCCACCCTACCCTTCTCAGAATAAATGTTGCTAGATGGCGCACGTTTCAAATAAGGAAGTTTCCCTGCCGTACCCTGTGTTTTTCTTAGAATTGACCAGTTTTTGCAAAAAAGGGGAGATATATGTCAATTATGTTAATATTTTCAGTTATTTAAAACACAGAATTGTTACTGCCTAAATCCATTTCACTTTTGACCAAGATCTTGTCATTGAAGGCAAATATTCAGTTTCACCTTGTCATTGAAGGCAAATATTCAGTTTGACATCATGTGTATGTGTCAGTGAAAGTAATAAATATAGATGTGCTTTTTAATCCCTGTGTCGCTGGAAAACAAAATTTCAGTAAAAGAACAGTAAAATCATATATATATGTTAAATATTTTTATTTAAATAAGTCTTCCTATATACAAATACATATTAAAAAATACAACCTATTTTATAAGAAATGGAATGCTTGTTTACACCACAGCTGCCACATAACATTAGGGTAAAGGAAGACATCAAATCTGGAATATTCGTGACTTGGAGTAAGTGATCATGAACAAAATTATTCTGCTGTTGTCAGATTTAATGGGAACGTTGTAGATGTAAATAAAAAGTATTTCAGGATATTAGCATAATTAGTACCACAAAAAAATGATAAATTACATAAACGCACATTTCAAAGTTCTGAAAACTGTGAGACGTTTAATTTACTCAATAATATGCAAGACTGAATTATACTATACAATTTAGAAAATGACACTATAAAAACATCACTAAAATATATGCACTTTTACGTAATCAAAAATATAAGGCACATACATTGTGTGTTAATCCTTATAGTAATAATATGCAATTTAAAGATTGTAATTTCTAGCTACTTTTATAAAAATGTATTTAATATCCTGCATTAGTAACTGAATTATACACTGAAATTATCGAACATAAAATTTGGGTTTTAAGCATTTAATAAAAAACATTAAGCAATTTTTATATCCACATGTACTCAATTGTTAAATTTTGTGTTTAATATACTGTGAAAATCAAGAATATCACATGCCAAAAATAATAATTTTCCCCTTTCTCATGAATGTAACATGAAGGGTGAAAAATAATCACATATTATAACTATCTGAAGTTTAAAAATAAAAACTATTTTATCAATAGTAAAAAATGCTTAGTTTAAAAATAAAAACTATTTCATTAATAGTAAAACATGTTTAGGATTTTCAAATGTTATAAAAATCAATGAATAGAAAATTCTTATGAATACCTGTATATTTACTTCAACATAAATAAAATTATTAAGTCTAAAACAATAAATACTTAATTAGGGAAACATAAAATTATAGATAAAAAAACAATTACTATTTATGTATATATCTCAACTACTTATATATATGTTCTAAAAAAGTTACTCTATAATGATAACAGAGTTACCCAACCTAGGCTTACAGGCCAAATGTAATTCTACCAAGCATTTCAATAATGAATGAAATTAACAAAATTACTAGTTTTAGCTATTATAGACATAGGTATAAAAGCTATAAAAAATTTAACTATTTGTTCCCTTTATTTACTTTTTTTTTATGTGTAAGCTACCAGAAGAATTACATGATCAGCTGTAATTGTTGGCTGATGTACAATTGCAGCTGAGCTGTATGTCAAGAATACATTTATTTTGTAGTAGTTTTTGTGTGTCTAGTAAGATCATTGCACAGTGAAAATTCAACTATTTACAGCATAAATTGCATGTTTTAATACATTAGTAGCAGAAAAAGATATGATTTTTTTTTTTTTAGCTTGGGGAAATAAAAAGTCAAACACTGATAAAAAATCCCATTTGTTGTGCTATACTTAAAAAGTATTTGGTCAAATCTATCACATACATGGTCACTCCAATTTATAAGCCAGACACATATTTAAGAGTTTCAGTATTTTTGTGGTAATTAAATTACTTGAAGTATTTAAAATTTCCCCTTTTACAATGGCTTACAATTTGCGTGTAATGTACATCTGGCCCAGGACAATAAATAAGGAGAGTAAATTACACAATATATTTTGAAACTTTGAATTTAGCAACTGGTTCAAAAAAGTCACATAAACATAAACCTTCATTCAACTTTTAAATTTTGTAAATAGCAGCTTCATCTATTAGCAAACCATGAAAGTAAAAAAAAATAAAACAGCTTTTTAAAAAATTCTTGAAACTTCATGGAATTTTTAGAACAAAATTTCAGCTACTGAACCATTCATTACACAGCAATGAGGAAAGGAAACATTTCCCGGCAGGAGGACACTTTTAATATGGTGGTTAAAATATTTCAAAGAACTCAAAATTTTCTGATATCCATTTGTGGCTAAAATACCTGTTGGCTACAAGAAAATTAGGAAAGGGGGATTTGACAGTGGCTGGATTTGAAAATTTCGCATGAAACATACCTTATCTATCTCTCTCTCTCTCTATATATATATATAAAGACCATTTGCTAATGATAACTGTATTACAAATTTGGGAAAATTCATTTCAAAAGCATGCAAGTTATTCAAGCCACATAACTTGTATAAAATTAACACAAAAAGGGAAAAAATAAAGAAACTGCACTGCTGCCTGGCAGAAAAATAACAGCAGCATATGCTTAAAAAAGTACAACTAAGAATTCTCATAAATATTTTTCAAGAAATAAAACATCATTATTAATTGTGGATAATCATATGGTTCGATTGGTCACATACCAAATTTAACTGAATTATATTCTTGTTGCCAAATCTCACAAACAGTGTATTATAAGTTTTGTATTAAAATGCAATAGTTGCATTTTACAGATTTAACAACAAAAATAATTTTGCATTTTCATCTCAGTTGTAGCATTCAGCATTATTAAAACTTGAAATGTGATACTCATGTAGTTGATTTTGAATTGCTTCATATGTATGATTTTGTTAATAGAAGTAGAGGAAGAAGGTACAATATTCCTTCTTGTAAATCAGCTGAGCATCTTCAGAAACACAACAGTAGTGCTTAGATAGATCAGAATGTGTAATGTAGATAACTTGGTTTAAAGTTGCCAATGAGCAAAATGATAGTATTTTAGATGTAAAATTTTTAATGGCAACATCTGATACTATTAAAGAAAATTTCAAAACCTGGTAATAATTTATGCAGAGCTGTTCAATTCTTCTGAAAGAAAACAATGTATTATTTTATTAGAGCTGTTCAATTCTTACTGAAAAAAATAATAATGTATTACAAATTTATGTCAATTTCAGAGAGTTTTTGATTTAATTTAAATTCCTATGCCATGTTGTCTAAAAATCAGGTAAATAAATTTTAAATGAAGCATCAACATACATTTAAATTTTAATTACATAAATTATACATTGAATGCTTAAAATTTTTAACTGGTGTCAATATTAATATTTTATATTATCATCATTATATGTCTTTATATTGTTACAAATAAGCTCCCTTTTGTTAATCTATAAGTATGATCTTATAATAGTGTTTGACTACATATAATTTTAATCATTAAATGTTTTTTCTAATTCTTCATTTCTGCATTTCAAATTTAAAGTTGCAATAATATTTTAGAACTAGAAAATCCTAAAACATACAATTTACGTGTAATATCGAATTTAAAATATTTGAATTCAGTCTTCTGATTATATAAAATTATTAGCCTGTGCCTATGAAGATTGGGCAGTCCATTAAGCTATCAGTAAATATAAGTCAGTGACATAAGTTAGTGTTTGAAGGTCTCAAAATAACATTACAAACTCAACATTACCTACATAAAAAGTTGTACAGGCTATTCAAATGCTAAGGCACTAATATCACATATTAATGTATTAAAATGGAATGTAACCAAAGTTCAGAAATTCTTTAAGACCTATCTTAGAACCCTGAGTCCGGAATGTTTTTCTTTGATCATTCTCCATACACCCACAGTACAATCGCTAAAATAAATAAACAAAATATATATTAGTAGAACACAAACTCTAAACAATAAATCAACCTAAATTACTTAAGATTCTAGAAGGGATAATAGTTCAGTTTCACTGAAGTCTTAAAATCCTGGCTCTTCATTTAGAAGATGCATTTTCTGCTTTATATGGATTATTTCAATTAATATTTTTAGAGGAAAAGTATGAGTCCAGTTTTCCCACTATTTTGCACACATAATCTAATACGTTGTTAAATAGATATACTTATACTAGAAGGAATGTGCAATTTATAATTTTAAAAAAGTGCAATTTATATAATTTTACGTAGTGCTGTGATTCTTAGTATTTAAACTTTCAGAGGAGAAAACAATTTTCATAATGGAAAGACTATAATGACTCTGCTGGCTTTGACTGTCACTTTACAGATAAAGCCTTTATAATACTGCAATGAAAACAATCATGGTGTTAAGTTATCAAATCACATTAACAGGAAAAGTGTGTAACACTTGAAATATTAATGAAATCTTATGCAACTGACATTAATAACTTTGGTTTTCATCAGTAACAGCAAAGCACACAAGGAATATCTGGCTACGGATACTCTAAGAGAAATCAGCTCCTAACAGCTTATTTGATGAAAATCACTTGCATAATCATCAACAGAGAGTGATTTTGTCATAGCTAAAGTAAGGTATTGGCTATCAGCTCATAACCAGTATCATATCTGCAAAAATTCACGATAAAAAACTAAAACATTATAACAGGGTTCATACACATATCTGCAAACGGAAATTAAGGACCATTAATGAAAAAATTAAGGACCTATGAGCAAATAGGAACTTGATGAATTCAATTGAAAATATTATCTATGCCTGAATTTCACTTTTGTAATACCATCCAAAAAATAAAATAGATCCCTAAGTAGTATGCATTATTACTAAACATGAATTAACATAATTGTTAATAAGTTTGAGAATAAAATAAACTTTGTACAATTTATGAGGTAGCATCAAATATTTTACACATATAATAGTTGTCATATTTGAAAGAAGAAAAATGACATTTACGTTTTACTAACAATTAGCTTTATGTTAATTTTTTTTTTTTTTTATGTCTCATTTTGTCACATACTTGGTCAGTCTAGAAGTTTAGTAAATAAGCGGGTATATTTTATGTCAAATGGCATACATTCAAATGACAGATAAGATCCTAATCAGCATGATTCATAACAAAAGGCTGAATGTTGTCACCGCTGCTGCTTGCCTAGAGAGAGAGACCTGCTGATTCAAACAAACCTGAAACGCCTGATGTAGGCACGGTTGGCAAGTGTTGAAAGTTAGGCTATGTTTGATGCATTAGTGTCAGCTTTCTGTAGAGTTCCAGAGGTTGTAACCCAGTTAATATACTTTAAGGTTCCAATAAGCTATTAAAGCACCAGAGGTGATAAGTTGTTTTGTATTACTTTAAGTCTCACTAGATGCAGAGATTAAGTTTTACTTGAATTTTTATATTTTATCTTGTGACCATAGTGATTATTAATAAAAGGCAATAACTCACATCAATGTGTAGAGATAATTTCTAGGCAGTTAGTTATAATTAATTAAATTAGGTAGTTAGATAACCTTAGTCATTATGGATTTACATGACCACTATTAAATTTTATTTTTTAACAATATTTGTTAAAAAAGCCTTATTAAAATCAAAATCTAATAAAATTTCACAGTTTAAAATGCATGTAATTTATGACACAGATTCTTAAACAATATTGCGATAATTACACATTAAAAGCTACAAAACATTTATGTTTTGTAACAACAATATTCAACAAAATATTTATCCATCATTTTAATTTGAAGCCTTCCCAGACATTTTGGCTAGTTTATATCGATTTCCTTCTCTTTAAGCATCTTTTCTAACAATTAGAGATTTGTCTCAATAATCAAACAAATGCTCTCGCTAGTTTCTGCATGCTTTATCTCATAACTTGTCAAACTCTCCACAATGTACCTATGAGGGTTTAATTGATCTGGTAAAAGTTAAATAGTCCAAAACACTCGGCAGACGTGAAGCAAATTATCTCTATGTCTGAAATTAACTACAATATCAGACAAAGGTTTGAATAAGCCTCTTATTTAAAAATTAATTAGAACATAAAGGCATGTTCTGTTGCTAACAAAATCAATTACAGCTCACAGTGACGTAATTAAACAAGAACAGTCAAATTCAAAGTAATAATGCTGACAAACATATAAGAGTAAAGAAACTGAGATCACTGAGCTGGATAACAGAGTGGATATATACCGGGTGGCCACAATTAAACTGATAGTGATCACAATGTTCTGTAGCGCGATCTATTTGCGAGAATGACACCACATTTTGTAGGAAGATTAAACAAGACGGAGGACGAAGGATTCCGCGAAAAAACAAATTAGTTCCAAAAGTCACCGCTAGGGGAATATTTGGCGCTGTGTAATAGAAAATAGAGTGTTAACAAATGCAAATCAATACGGAAATTACCTTTTATTTTGCATTCAAATGAGGTTCAATGTGGCTGCCGTTGTTGTGGACCACATATTGCATTCTGTGCACAGTATGCACAACAGCAGAAAGTAACATGTCTGCAGGAATCTCCCGTACAGTCCGTGATATGTTATCCTTCAAAAGTAGCCAGCCAGGTCCTGGACCACTCCTTGATAGACCTTGGACTTAAGGTAACCCCATAGCCAGAAGTCGCATGGGGTAAGATCAGGCGACCGAGGTGGCCATGCAGTTGGAAAGTAGCGGCTAATGACTCTTTCTGTTGTGAATTTCTGTCGTAGCATCTGTTGCACCCGTACAGCAACGTGTGGAAGGGCTCCATCTTGCATGAAAATGATTTCCCCCAAGCATTGTCTTTGCTGAAGTGCCGGAATGACAAAGCTGTTCAACATGTGGCGATATTTCTCTCTGGTAACAGAACAGGCTTCCGGTCCTGTCGGGGTAATGTTCTCATAGAAGAATGGACCTACGATAAATTCCGCTGTGAACCCACACCAAACAGTTACCTTTGGTGAATGTAAGGGAATTGCTGTGACTGCATGTGGTGGTTTGTCATCCCAAATTCGGCAGTTCTGGGTATTCACAGTTCCATTCAGGTAAAAGTGGGCCTCGTCTCCCCATAAGATTTTCCACGGCCAAGCATCATCCACCTCCATTCTGGCAAGAAAGGTGAGAGCAAAAGTCAATAGCTTATCATGGTCGGGGTACAGTAACTCCTGTACACGGCTAATCTTGTACGGATAGAAGTTGATAATCTTTCGTAAGATTTTCCGTACCGTACTGTAAGGCATATCCATATTCCGAGCTACTGCGCGAGCGCTAGAGGTGGCAGCAATATTGTCTGGGCCTCTGTCGACAATCGCCGTGGCAACTGCTTCGATTGTATCCTGTGGTTCAGGTTTTCGTCTTCTGCCTGACTGAACCTTCAGAGAACCTGTTTTCTCAAACGTCGCAACCATTGCTTTTAGCCCATTAACTGACACAGGACCGTTACCTTTATGCATTTTTTTGTGCATTCTAAAAGCACGAAGAACGGCTGATGCGTCGCACTGGTTGAGGTAAAAGAATCCGACCAGTAACGCACGCTCGACTAAAGAAGGAGACATTGCACATAAACTTTCAATCCGATTGATCGAAACATAACACACTGCCTTTTAAAACCCAAGCAGCTGGCACTGTGCGAATGGATGCAACGTGAAATTTGAAGAAAGAATTCTTCTTCTTCTGCTCAGCATACGTGATATTGCAAATGATGAGACTTTATCGGTGTTTATGTAGATTTTATGCTTTTAAAAAAGTGTTGCCATATTGCACTTGAACTAAATCAGAAAATGTGCATAATAAAAGGTAATTTTATTCTGTATTAATTTGCATTTGTTAACACTCTATTTTCTATTACACAGAGTCAAATATTCCCCTAGCGGTGACTTTTGGAACTAATTTGTTTTTTCGCAGAATCCTTCGTTCCTGTCTTGTTTAATCTTCCTACAAAATGTGGCATCATTCTCGCAAATAGATCGTGCTACAGAACACTGTGAGCACTGTCAGTTTAATTATGGCCACCCGATATATAAATATATTTATATACGTTTGGTGCATTTGAAATGCAACCAAAATACAAGGTGCACATCTACATGTTATAGCAGTCCTATATACAAAATTTCAACGTTCTGAGGCTACTCGTTTTTGAGTTATGCGAGATACGTACATACGTTCGTACAGATGCCACAAAAAATTCTCTTCTGAATTCATTTTAAAGCAATTTTATAATTTTTTTGGAGGAAAAGAGTATTTTATTCTGTCCTTATGTACAAATATCACGCAAAAACATCGTTAAATTGCATTCGATAGTGGTCAAAATGGATATATTCGTTGAAATATGCTGCCTGAAACTTTTCGCGATTACAACACTTCCTTTTTACTTCGTACAAGGAAGCAAAAAATCATCGAAAAATTCTCAGATCTCGGAATTAAAAAGTTTTTATAGAAACTAATCTTAAAATCGCCAAAATGTTGAAAAGTCGCCAAATTTAGAACTGTTTAATAAAAGAATTCACATGCCCAAAAGCGAAAAGTTGTTTAAGAGCTGTTTATTAGAAAAAATTAATTTTGCAATGCTTATGTTTTACTTCTTGCTTAGAAACTCGAGTATTTATTAGTAGTCATTTATATTAGAAATAGAAACAAATTATCACTCACGAACCCTCTCAAAAGATAACCATATATACGGCAGTGAATCCCAAAAAATATTCCTCCAAAATGCTAATTCACACTCAAAATGACAGTTGTAAAAACAGACAGAAATTTCAGATGATTAAAATTAAGGACCTTCTGCTGATTTTGGCCAAAATAAAGGTCTTTTAAAGGACCAAAAATCGATTCCGCAAAATCTAAGGAGTCTTAAGGACCATACGAACCCTGTAATAAACCATTTGCTATTATTATGCAAACAAACAATGGCCAAATTTTATAAATAACACATAGCATATACATTATTATTCTCAAATCATTTGATATATTGTTTTTACGGGTTTTAGATTCAGATTTTCAAATAAGAAGAAAGCATGCTATGATTCAAATAAGTTAAATTTCCCCCTCTTCCCAAAAATGCATTGAAAAAAATTAAGTACTTACCTAGAAGCTGTGAAAATAAGTGAACTATTAGATGCTATGCTGTTAATGGAAGACCCATGAGCTCTGACTTCTTCTAACATTTCACATTTATTGCTCAACCATAACTTAATGTACCCAGACCTACAGCCACTAACAAATTTGTCATTTCCTTGCAGAACATTTAAAGAACACACCCAGTCTTTATGAGCTTGGTAAACAGACTGAAATGTAAAAGTTGTTACTTATACAACTTAAGTAATTCCATAACTATAATGATCATAAAAAATTATATATTACCAAAAAATATACACGAATAAATTTTAACATGTCGCACATATTTTTGCAATTTTAATATGTTGCTTCAACAAAATGAATATCAGTTTATACTGATCTATGCATTATCTTGAATTAAAAATGATTCTTGTACAATCTGATAGACATTCATATCAGAAGCAGTTGCCAAATGCTTTACCACGCAAGATCCCAGAGATGGCACTTTCATCTTAGTATAACAACTTTAATGCAATCATGTTTTTGGCACTACTATGCAGGGCACATGTAAAATTCCAAAAAGTAACTATGTATTGCTTTGTTACAATGAATAAGGCTCAGCCCAATACTGATACCTGTCTAACTGATCATCAAGTTCAGTTGGGAGGTTTACGCCTCAATCAGTATGTTTTATAAACCATCTCCTCATTATATCATCTTTATATCATCATTTCATCATTATATCATCATCATATCATCATTATATCATCATTTCTAACTGATCAACAAGTTCAGTTGGGAGGTTTATGCCTCAATCAGTATGTTTTATAAACCATCTCCTCATTATATCATCTTTTCTGAAATGTAGTAGCATCATGTATCATAGAATAATGGATGGACTTAGAAAGATTGATATTTTGCTGATAAATTATACATGTATTTCTTCCCTCTAAAGCTAGCTCTCCAAGACTGTGTTAGCTCACTTGTCAACTGATTGTACAATGAAACCAATTTTGATTAGTAGAGATTTAATTGTGCAGTGGGAATCTTAATTTCTTATAAATATGAGTTTGAGGGTTTGCTTTCTTTCATAATCTAAGCTGAAATCACTAATGAAACTAACATTTCTTTTTCTTTTTAATATCCAACAAACTAAGAATTTTTTATTAATATTCATATTTCAGTAAACATAACTTAAACATAATGAACTTAATAGCATATTTCATTAAACATAACATTTCAGAACAAAACAGAAAATCAATCGGAGCTCTCAACTTTATAGTAATACTGCATATTGTAAATTTTTTCTAACAAAACTAGGTACTTATGTATTATCCCATTGACCAAGAAACTTGGCAGAGGTCCTGCCAAAGTTGCGCAAATTGTTTCTGTAAAATTATGAAGGAACTGGCATATCTTTATTTAATGAAAAATCAGTACTCGACCCACTTTGTTCGTGCTTCATAAAAAGGCTGTTACGAATTTGAAGTTCTTCTTCTGGCTAGCATTTATTTTTTTAACTTTTGTGGCAACACTGCATTCACACAATTGAGATCATCTGGGCAGCCATGAAGAGAGCTTGTTTCTTCCGTTTTCAATACAAAATTATGTTACTGTAACTGTAAAACAATTCTGTATATTAAAGTTTGTGTTATGAAAATTACAGCAGTCTACTAATTTGATGGATATCATGAAAGGTGATGGTCAACGTCGGCCTGATGAACTTTAAACTGTTTTTTTAAAAAAATAATTTGAAAGCGAAATGATTAGCAGAAAATTGGCTCCTGTTGAAATCTCACAGGTCTTTAAGCAAAAATGGGGTTATATCAAACTGCAGATAACAAGAATAAAGTTATTCTTACAAGATAAAGTGCCATTGGATAATACAGATCAAAAGCTTCAAGCAGTGGACAAACTATGTTCTAAGTTATAGGACTTATGAAATGAATGCTACAGCACATTTTCAGATGCTGACTTGCCAGCCCCTGAAGAAAGCCCTGATGAACTGCAAACTGACCTCGAAACATACGAGTTTTAAAAAACTTCTCAATCCAAATTCTATTGCAAATGTTAAAAGTAGTTCGTCTTCTGGCAACTGTAAAGTAAAACTGCCGTCAATTAATTTCCCCAAGTTCTCAGGTTTATATGCTGAATGGATATCATTCAAATCACAGGTTATGGCATTAATTGATAATAATGATCAGTTGTCAAAACAACAAAAATTATATTATCTTCAATCAGCACTCAAGAGTAACGCAAAACAAGTAATTACGGTAAATGATACATATAATAGTTTGAGGCATTGAAAAAACATTTTTTTTAAACGTACGGTTGCTTATTACGAGTTATATTAATGAAATATTTAATTGCTCTAAATTTAATTTGAATCTGCTTCTAATTTAAGACAGATGCTTGATAAAATTGAAAGTAATTTGCAATCGTTAAAACACACAAACCCTCTTTGCGAAGCAATCTTAATATATGTAATTCTTCACTGACACTCGTAAATTATAAGAAATTATATTGGGTTCTGAATTACAAAGCTGAGAAAAATTTACAGGAATTATAAACAAAAGATGCCAAGCTTTGGAAAACGTAAACAAAAATATGGGAGGAAATTAATTTAAACAGGAATTAACTCCAAAATTTAAAACACTAATAGTAAAAAATGACAAAAATATTTGTATGTTAGGATGCAGAGTCACACCCTCATTTTCAGATGTAAAAAGTTTATTGATTCAAATGCAGACAAGAGATTAAAATATGCTAGAAAATTTAATCTCTGTTATAACTGTCTTGGATCTCATACAATGTCTAAATACAAGAAAATTCATTTAAAGTGTAAAACACATAACAAAAATCATAGTATAATGTTACATGAAGTGAATTTTGTGATTGAAATGCAAAAACAAAACAATAATGAACCAAGAATCAATTATGGTTACAAAAGTGAGATATTATGTGTGTTGTTACTTCATGCTTAACAGCTTGCCTGATTATCCCGAGTTATCTCGGGTTCGTATATATTGCAGTTAATTATTATCCCGAGAAGTACGATTTGTTTTATCATGGTTTCATTCGGCTTGGAGTTAATTAAAGGAAATATCCAGCTTTTATTGGCAATTTGCCAAGTTTTGTTGGTTCGCGGTTCTTTTGGCGGGACTGGTCACGTGTTTTCCCTATTGTCTAGTATACGTCGGCTTGTGGATTAGTAATGTATAAAGAATGATAGTTGCGTTGAAAAAAGTAAAATAATGGCGATGATGCAAGATAGTGAAAGTGATGATTTTTCAGATAGTGACTATAACCTCAAGGCATTTTCTAGATGTTATTCCCGCTACTGAAAAAAAATCAAATCCAATGAGTCAGTGTCCTCTGTGCTCCCGTAAAAGAGATTCCAGAGGTAAGCCAGTAAGAAAAGAGACCAGGTACCAGTGTATAGAATATTAAGTATCACTTTGTGTTGTCCCTTGTTTCAAAAACTCTCATACAACGACTAAAATTTAATTTTTTTTATTTGCCCGAGATAACTCGGGATAGTAAACTAATATTAAAACTAAATGCTTTTACACCTGTAAAAAATTAAAAATTCAACTTAAAACCTATATGTTGTATTTTATTTTGTTTTCTAGTATTTAATAATAAAATTAAAAAATGTGATGATTTTTTGCAGTTTTTTTCAAAAAAAATGTATAAGGGAAGCGGTTAATCCATAACTGGCCCAGCTTGGCAACAGTTTCACAATAGGATAATAAATAAGTACCCCAAAATAACACCTTTATAAAAGTGTGCTCTGAAATGCAAACCACATATTTAATAAATACTTACATGCTCTACAACCTGATGCTTCAAATCCCATTTTTTGATGGACATATCCCTAGAACCAGAAAACAGGGTATTGTCACTTATGGCTAATGCTTGAATTGCATCATAATGAGGAGGAGATAGACTGAAGTGAGAATGGTGAACTCCATAATCATTTTCTTCTTTAACTTCAAAACCCTGAAAAAGGTTTTTAATAGTATAAAAACCACATTTACCTTCTTCCCCCACCAAAAGAAGTATTTACAATTTTATACATTTAAAATAAAGATATAAAAAAAAAATAATTAATGTGAAAAAATATTAATATCAAATTTAAAATCTGAATGGCTAGTTATTTAATTTTAACAAAATAAGACCAATCTGGACATCAAAAATGTCTTCCAGTATGGGAATCAAGAGTCTAATACAAAACTTTCATCATTTGATAACTTTATACTTTTGTCTAACTCATTTTAAAACACTGAATAAAAAGCAGCAACTAACTTCTTTCAGCAAATTATCCATAAAACGGATGCACTGATTCTCCTCAGGGGATTATCATATATATCAAACGCCGCACTCGAGAAAAATGGCGGGGAAAAAATTTAACTTACACAGAAACGCCGCAATAGATTAAATTGCGCGTGACATCGTCGTGGGCCGTATAGATGCAAAAACTCAACCTAAGTCCTGATATATGACATACCAGTTAAGAAAAATGCATGAAATGAAACCATAACAAACTCAAAATAAATTAAAGGTAAGAAATGTATAGCTTCTGTGCCGTTTAGAGACATTTTCAAAAATTTTCCGCTCCCTTCTTACTTCAAAACTATTCAAGAAGTACTTGTACCCAAACTGATGGGATCTGTATTTGGCAGAATGCCAAGAAAAATCCATTTATGCTGAAGGGGAAATACGTCAGAGTTCGTTATCGCGAGGCAGGTGGAGTCGTGTCCACCTTTGAAAAAAATTGCAGAAAAGGCAGGGGTGGGGAGAGGATGGGTTCTGGAAGATTCATCGAATGTCAGAGGAGAGAGACTATTCAAACTGATGAGAATGTTGATTTGAAAGGGGGAAGAATGTTATTGTTCTGAGATCTCATTTAGGGTGAATAAGGCATGTAGGTCTGTTCAAGGGAAAGAATGTAAACAAAATAACGTTCTCAAAAAGCAACTGAGTGGTCTTTTGTGTGGGAACAGCACCAGTCTATGCACAATGACAAGGCCATCCAAACTATGTACAATGACCATCATAGGAAATATTTTATTTTTAGTGCACCTAAACGCCGCACCAGCTGAAAATTTAAGCTTTAAACATGTAAACGCCGCGGCGTTTCTTCCGGAAATTACGGTAAATTTAATTATATGATTAAAACAGACAAACGAAATTTTGAATCACCATAGCTTTTTCTCCTTTAACTTTTGATTACAGTCACCAAAAATTACAATTTCATAGAATTGCACTAGTTTTATAATAGAATACAAAATCTCAGTTAAGAAATTTAATATAAGTTAGCAATCAAATTGAAAGCTTTTCATTTTCAAGGTAAAAACATGATTAGATATGTTAACAAAAAAAGCACAGGAAATCTCCTTTTGCATTTTTCCTTACATATTTTATAACTATATACAGAAGTTATAGATCACAACAATGTAACATATTTTATATGTAGAGTTACTGTGGAGAATACAAAATCATCATTAAAAAAAACTTATAATTAAAAAAAAAAAAAAAAAAAAAAAAGGCTGAAATTGAAATGGCTCAGGTCCCTAAGAAAGATTGGCTGGCTTGGGATGTTTTGCCTACTAAAATCTCCAATATGAAAAGTACTGGATAAATTAGGCTCATGAACTGTATAACTATTTTTGGAGTAGAATGCAGATTTAAGCACAAAATAAAAGCAAAAATAATTTATTAACTTACAAACAAAATGAAGGATTAAAATTTAATAATACTAAGAAGAACAAATACTTTTATTGATTGATCTTGAGATCCACAAATAATTCTAATTTTTTCAAATTCAATATCATTTACAGCTAAGCAAAGAACATTTGCCTGATATCCAACATTCAGAGCACCAATCCACTGCATCCTACAAGAAGTGGAAATACAAAATACAGAACAAGTTTTAAAAAGTGTAAAGTACATTAAATATATTATAATTTCTATTTCTTTCAAAATTAATGTATTTCCAGCACACAAAAATTGCAAAAAATATGCATACATTTCCTAACATAATATGAATTGAAAAATCAATGCTTGGTTTTAAACTAAGCTAAAAAACTATGCACATTAATATAGCCATCTCAAAAAAGCTATGTAATCATATATAGATATTAGCTATAACAAAACTTAAATTTGTCTTCAGTAATATCAAATCTTTAGAAAACAGTTTTCATAAAATATACAGTGTAAAAAAAATCCAAAGCCTTTTGTTATCCAGATATGATACACTTAAAGGATTTCACCATTTCCTTTGCATATCAAAACATGTAATGAATAACTTGTTATCATACTGTAAAGAATATTCAATCAATCGGATGTATTCTTGTGTAAGTGTTTCTCATTGTCAATAACTGTCCGCTTCAAAATGATTTGATTAGATGAAGCAACGTAAAAAAAAAAGTAAAATATTAATCTAGATTTACTGTTTAACTTTTGTTAATATGATGTGTCCCCCCAAAAGTAGAATGAATCGAAAAGGAAAATCTATGAGCATAATCACAAATCCATGTGATCATATTATTGACAACGATGATGACTACATTGTTCCTTTAAAGTGCAAAAGACAACGCATTTTGAGTACTTCAGAGGATAGTGATAGTGATTTATTGCATCAATGTCCACTGAACAGTCTACAAGTTGCTGAAGACGTTTCTAATCAAGGTGATCCTCTCGAGCATAGCGAAGAATCTGGTTCGCGATGTAACTTCTCTAGCCAGAGTAAACGCATTGAAGACTTTGAACTATTCTTTAATTCGACACTATGGTCACTAATAGCTGAAGAAACTAATAAATATGCAGAATATTCAAGACATTCACCTAGAGAATTGGAATCATTTGATGCAGATATTTGAACACCAGCTACCGTTTTAGAGATGAAGGCATTTATAGCAGTGCTAATGGAAATGGGAACACACAATATATGAAAACACAATATATGTTCATATTGCTCTGAAAATTCGCATAACGTACAGTGGTTTTGAAGAGTGTTCTTTTGAAACAGATTTCAACACATTTTGAAATATTTTCACTCAAATGATAATTTTTTATGTTTTCTACCTGGTCACTATAAATACGATCCTTGTGCAAAATTTAAGCCACTTGTTGAACACGCTAGTAAAGTATTCAAATTACATTATAAATTACACAAAGAATTATCAATTGATGAGTCGCTAGTTGGGACGCTGTGTCATTCTAGAATAAAGCAATACTTGCCAAATAAAAAGCATCATCGTTGGGAAATACAATTCTGGATGCTGTGTGATTCTGTTTCAAAATATTGTTTGTTGTTCTCTTGCTATAAAGGTGCAAAAGAAACAACTGCTACTGATAGGAAAAAGTTTGAACTTGGACATGATGTGGTGGTAAATTTATTAAAAGATAGTAATTGTTTGAATATAGAGCATCACATTTTTGTCGATAACTTCTTTACCAGCATAGAATTAACTACACTCATGTCCATAAATTAAGGATAATGCAAAATCAGGCAAAGAAAGAGTTAGAAGCAAAACAAATTTGACTTTTTGTAAAGCTTATTTAATAAACAAAAGGTAAAGAGTAAAAAAAGATGCTATATTTTGATATTATTAAAAAATTAGCGATTTTTTCTCCCTGGAACAAAAAAAAAAAAAAAAAAAAACCTATTTACAAAAAACCAATATTACATGGTTGGTATGATTGTTAATACATTGTATGTCTCCCAGATGATGCAATACAGTCCGTACAACGCATAGGCATGCTGAGTATCAAATTATCGATCTCATCTTGGGGAATATTACACCACTCAAAAAGCAATGCTCTCTGAAGTTCCGGTAGACATGTAGACATGTAGGAGGAGGTTGACGGGCTACAACTCGTCGGCCGAGCATGTCCCACACGTGCTCTACTGGATTCAAGTCCGGTGAGAATGCTAGCCAGTCCATACAGGTGATATCCTCCGACTGAAGGTATTCGCTTACGATGTTTGCACGGTGAGGATGGGCGTTGTCGTCCATAAACACAAATTGTGCGCCCATGGCGCCACGAAACAAACGTACATGTTGTTCCATAATGATGACCCGATAGATTTGGCTTGTCATGGTTCCAAGTTGAACATGCTGGTCAGTTCTGAAACCCAGAATAATTCCACCCCAAACGAGCACTCCTGCACCACCACAATGGTGTCATTCAATGATGTTTTCTTGATGGTAATGGGTACCTGGAGCTCTCCATATGAAAGTCCGGCGAGATTCAGACTGCAAGCTAAACCTGGACTCTTCGGAAAACATCACACAAGCCCGCTGTTGCAGTGTCCACAATGCATGGTCTCTACTCCAGGCTAACCGCAGGCGACAGTGAGTTGCAGTAAGTGGAACGCATCTGACAGGTCTACGAGCATATAGACCAATCTGCCCTAAGCGTTTGTACATGGTCTGCCTTGAAATTGTCATACCAGTGGCTAGAGAGAGCTGACGAGACAGGTCTGAGGCTGTGCTCCGCCTGTTTCTTTTGGCAGTAACTGCCAAATACCGGTCCTCATTCAGCGTTGTAACTCTGGGGCGACCTGTGCTGTAACGTCTACTCACATTACCATCATCTTGGAATCGTTGCCAAAGCCTGGAGATGACACTCTGGGCAATTCCAAGTTCGTCTGATACTTCTAGTTGGGTATGCCCACATTCCAGACGGCCGATAATTCTACCACGTAAAAAATCATCCAAATGCATCCTTTGTGTCGTAACTATTCGGTTATTGCACTGAAATGCTTATAAAGCACCCGCGAACAATTTTACTTCTTTGCCTGTATTCCTTATATATCACTCTCTTACACTCTCATCATTGTGACGTACCATCGGTGTCATCTGGTTACTTCCTGAAATTTGCATATGATTCTTGAAGATGTGTGTAGTGATTTTACAGGTGATATATTTATTTTAGAGTTTGATTTCCGCGTGACTCTGAATTATCCTTAATTTATGGACATGAGTGTAGATATTTATATTCTATGGATACTTACTTAACTGGAACCATTAGAAGAAACAAGAAATGCATTCCCGATAACTTGAAACAAATAAATGTAAACGAGGTAAAATATTTTCGAAATATGAAGTATTATTCTGTGAAAATATAGCGAAAAAAAGTTTAAAAAATCCTGTATTATTAATTTCCACAAAAGCAGAAGAGCAAAATGTAACTATAACACAAAATTGGCAAGGCAGAGAAATACGTTAAACAAAAATCGCTATTAATCAATCTTACAATGCCTTCATGGGAGGTATCGGATAAAATGCTGTATACCTAACTCGATGAACAAAGATCAGTTAAATATTGGAAAAAGGTAAAATTTAACATAATCAAACACATGGTTTTAAATGCATATATAATCTACAAAGAAAGAATTGAGTGTAAAGCAATACTTCGGTTACATTTTATGCTCAATATTATTTTTGAAAAATTTGAGTGCTATGTAAAAAAGGAATTCATCCAACACGTTTTGATAAACACCCATGTTACAAATTATAATTGTTACTCTCCATTTAAATTGTTTGTTCATAACACAAAAATATTGTTAATTTGTAATTCCGTATTTTATAAAATACATCTGTGTTATTACATATGCATACTGTAAATTTATAAATATTTCAAGTTTTGTTTGATAAAAATTATTAAGAAGATAACAATGAAATAAATTTTATTATTTTGTATTGTATTATTGCATTATTATAGTATTACTCTACCTATTGTAAAAAGTACTCTTTACATTAAAAGAGCTGTGTGATGTACTTGCTTCAGTATATCTAAGCGCGCAACTTCAACAATCGATAACGCACTGTCAGTTATCCACGATGTTCGAAATATACTGGGTTTTCTTGACATAAAATCTCAGCAGCAGAACCGTGCTGCTTGGGTCTCAAACAGTTAATAATGTAAATATCATCTTAATGAATGTAAGTTTATGAAGATACAGACTAAAATAAGTAATTATACAAATTCAATTAATAAATGCAGTTTAAATACCGGTGTTCATGACGGATCTAAAATCCTGCACCTCTCAGAGGGTTAAACAAATGGCCCAAGAGAAGTGAAGGTAACTGCAAAAATATAATTACAACACCAACAACAAAACTCATGCAAATGACTTTATTCTTAATCTTGCAATGCATAGCTCAAAAACTTTATAGCAATGTCTTTTTTTAACTTTTACACTACTGCATACCAATTATATGATATAAACTGAATATCTATATCAATAACCGAGTTTGTCAGTTATTTTATATTAATAACTCAGAACAATAACTGGCAAACCCAGTTTTGTCAATTTTCATCAACCAATTCTCTGGAAAAATTATGATATTACAAAATACACAAGAAAACTTAGAGTGTAATAAACACAATATAAATATAAATTATGCATTAAAAGCTTTTCTCTGCTCAGACCCAGAGGTATTGAATAATATTTTTTTCAGGCCATTCACTCTTTTTAAAGTTCGCATAAAAGCAATATATATAACAAAACAAATAAAATCATATGATTCATTCCTTTTAAAAATCTAAACCTCACTAGAAACAAATTTAGTATGTATTATAAAACAGTTTCAATAATCAATTTCTAAGATCCCATCATATATAATAAAATTTTAATTACTCACTTTCTCAAATCCCATATCTGTACAGACCGTGAAGTAGCACAAAACAAAAGTGTACCATACTGGCTCAAAGAAATATCATTTATCTGGTATTCTTTAGCCCAGAAATGATCTTGCATTTCATTTTTAAGAGCATGAGATGTACCACCAGAAAATACTTGACCAGAAGACCTGTAAAAATTATAATAAAGAACTGAAAAAATAATTACACATTTACAGCTATCAATTTACTGATATAGCTGGAAAAATAAGTAAAAAAGTAATTAATTGATGACTTCTATACATGAAAGAGTACAACAAAATTCCAAATGTCTGTTTAATTTCATGTGCATATCCCTTGCATTCTACAAGGCAAGTGAAATAAACGTATGCTATAATCCAACATATTCTCTAACAGAGTGAAAGTAAGCACAAAATATTTCAGGACTAAGAATTTTATGATATACATGAAAATTACAAAATATACAAAGAAAAAAAATTCAAGGATTCTGGATTGGATGGTAAAGCACAAAGCACACAAGGGTTATCTACCTAAGGGAAGACAGGCCAACATGTAGGAATATTCAAGGTAAACAAGCTCGTACCTACCTTACACATGGAAAAAGTCATGATAACTCCCATGCACACAGCTCATTTGCTGAGATTTGAACAGATTAAACTTTCAGTAATTTTACAGCTTAGATAGTGGCATGTCTCAAGGGTTTTGTGTTACAAAAGTCATTACTATACTCTGTGTATTCAACAAATAAATATCTCTATAAGAAAATGATGCATCCAAATATCAAATGTAAAAGTGGAGAATAATATATTAGAGTGGTATAGATTTTACAGAAAATTCTGTACAATGATTTAGTGGGCATTAGTTTAATTTATTTTAACAATAATTTAAAAAACAGCTCTCATTGTAGAATATCTTTTCTCCTTTAAGATGAAGAACCTTTTACATGATGCACGTGGAATTAATAAGTTTTCATTCCTTACATATTTTTCTATCAACCATTTTTGACAAAAACTGTCAGCAAACAGTGCAATTTAACAGCAATCACAACAACGAAATCACAATATATTCATAAAATCATTTTGGTTTTATATAACTAGATTCTCAACAAACCAGGGAAATTTTATAAAGAAAGATATATGTTAGCTGATTTTTTACAAAAGAACAAGCAGTAGTGCATTTTTAGAATTTAATGACTGGTTATACCAGGATTGCCACTCAAACAGGAGAATGAAAGTCACTGACTTTTCCATGTGTGTTTTAACAAAATTCCAGTCTATCTGCGTAGTGCGCATTAATTGTGCTGAGAGGTAAATTAATTATGATACCACTTGAAAACACCAAAGTTTGTGTATTACACATGACTTATATATATCAGGGTTCACACACATTTCACACACATACCCGAAGAACTAAGAAGCTGAACAGACCTTTCGCTGAGTAAAGAAAGTCAAATTCATACAATTCTAGAAATCATTTGGGATCTAAAGAAGAAGTATTCAGAATTAGAATAAACCCACCTATGGATGGTGTTTTAACAAAACGTTAACTTCTGTCAACTAATGCGAAAATTTACGATGCTTGGGTTTTATCACTCAACGATACAATTAAAAATTTAATGCGCAGTAGGAAGAAAAATATTGAATGGGTTGATTTATTATTTAATGATATTCCAAGCATGGATTGTTAGCATAAAGTTAGGTATTTGCTATGAAACTCGAAAGGCTACGAAACGACGTGCGCCAGATTATTTGGCGAGATAAATAAAGTTCGTGGGCAATGCAGTTCAGTAGTACTTTCTTTTCACATACAGTGTAAAGATGTTCCTGTTTTCTATTGCCTAAAATGGTAAGCCTGATGTATTTAGCTGATGATGATTTATGTAGTTATTCTTTCAATACTTCAGTGTTTTTATGTATGTGAGTTAGTATTTTGTATGCTAAGTAAGAAAAATTATGCTATTTTATTAAAGAAAGATTTCGTAGTTAATTTTTTGACTTATGATTCTTTAATGAAAACAGCGTCTGAGGAAACTTACTCACTATGCCTTCAGTGCTAATGCACAAACCGACAGGAATCTCATTGTATCGCACTCAAATCTCACTTGGGGAACAATAAATAATCTGCCTGGTTCTTTGCTCTGCGCACCTGCTTATCTTGTTCGGGATGGTTCTCTTGATGCTAATTTTGACCCAGATGATCCCTATTTCCCTAAATTTGATGTGTTAAATCTCAAATAGAACATTTAGCTGAAACCAAGATTTCACGAATCATGATGAAAAACAGTTCTGTTAAAACTATTCAATTAATTGGCTTTTGCGATGTGTCTGAGCATGTCTATGCAGCAACGTTTTGTCTATGAACAATATTCGAAAATGGAACATTCCACGTTTCATTTATTACTTCAAAAACAAAAGTTGCTCCTGTAAAGACAATAGCATTGCCAAAACTTGAACTATGTGCAGCACTTCTTCTTTCTAGACTCTATAAAGTTGTTTCAACATCCTTAAGGAAGAATATTCACATTTTTAAGTCTATTTTATATTTCAGACTCAAAAATAGTTTTAGATTGGCTTAGTTTAATCCTTCTCAAAGGTGGAAAATGTTTTGCTGCTAATAGAATATCAAACATTCAAGCAAACATCGTAAGCGAATACCTTCAATCGGTTTCAACTTCAGAAGCTTCATGGAATTATGTAAAAAGTCAAGAAAATCCAGCAGATTGGGCCTCAAGAGGTATTTCTGCATTAAAACTGAAAAGTCACACTTTGTGATGGCATGGTTTTCAATGGTTGTATCAGCATAATATGCTCCCTCTGCCTAGAGACCCACAGGAAGCATACATAGATGATATCAGATGCGAAGAAAAGAAATTGTCTCTGTCCGTCAATATCACCATTTCAGATACACCTGAAGTTACTGTTATGTTAGAAATTATTTCAAAATATTCATCATTTTCAAAATGCATTTGAATAATTTTGTGGTGTTTAAGATTCATAAGAAATTGCAAAATACAAGCTCAGAGTAAAAAAAAAAAAAAAAAAATCAAAGGTATACTATCACCTGGAGAGCTTGAAGAAGCAACTAAATCTATAATAATGCTCATTCAAAAATTAGAATTCAAGCTCGATTACAACTATTTACAAAAGAGACTTTCCTTGCCTCAAAACAGTAAACTGATTCCAATAAATGTTTCCCTTCATGGAGAAAGAATCATATTAGGAGGACGGTTAACAAACTCGAACTTAGATCACAATCAAAAACATCAAATTCTTATGCCAAAGAATTATCATTTCACTACGCTATTCATATAATATTATCACAAAATGCATTTACATAGTGATCTTCTATTTACTTTGTGTTGTATCCATCAAAAGTATTGAATACCCTCTGGAAGAGATGCAGTCCGACAAACTCTATCTAAATGGTTGACTTGCTTAAAACTGAAGTCGCAACCATGCCATACCATCATGGGAGACTTGTCTTTTAGTAGATTTAGTGTTGGAAGAGCATTTCTTAACACTGAACTTGATTTTAGTGTACCATTCATTACAAAATCTAACCTAACACACAGCAGAGTAAGATTTAAATTGAACATTGCTCTTTTTATTTGATTTGCCATTAAAGCAATTCATCTGAAGGTTGTTTCAGATTTATCAACAAATGCCTTTTTAGTAGCTTTAAGACTGTTTATCTCTAGACGTGGAAGGCCGGT